AATAAAGATCAATAGTAGCAGAAACTAATTATATTATTCTCTAATGTCCATCTCTATTTTAATCTTGCTGGGCTTTGGCCGACTCGTTGGGAAACTGATTATGTTGGCGAAAACTGATTATGTTGCTCACATGACCCGTTGGGAGATTCATAGTAAGGCTAAATGAAATGTTGTATGATTGCGACAAGTTCCAGAAAATTCATATCTCTTGCTCGCATGACTCGCTGAGAGATTTACAGTAAGGCTAAATGTAATGTGGTGTGATTGCAGCAAGTTCTAGAAAGTTCATATCCCTTGCTCGCATGACCTGCTGGAAGATTTACAGTAAGGCTAAATATAATGTGGTGTGATTGCGGCAAGTTTCCCAGTGGGTCGGCCAAAGTCTAGCAGGATTAAAACAAAGATAGGAATTAGAGAATAACATAATCAGTTTTCCGTCACCATTGATCTTTATTATTGTATTGAATTTTAATAAATTTATTTATTTATATTTATAATGTTAATATTCAATAAATTTAATTATTTGATGTTAGTTTCTGAGTTTTGGTATTTGATAAGTGAAAATCGAATAATTTTTTTTTTAGGCCAATTTGGTGTGACATTAACATTTTGACAAGACAAATGATGTAATACTAGGAGCAAAATTGCTCAATCTAAGAACCGAAATTTATACATACTATTTTAGAGACAAAAATTACACATTTAATTAATTTTGTCTCAATTTTTTGTTTATTTTTATTTTACTTTATTCATTTTTTTTTTAAAAATTCATATTATATTGGAACGAAAGTAAAACAAAAACCATTTTTCAGCAAAACTAAAAAAAAGATAAAAAGGAAAGGAAATTCAAAGTGATTGGAACTGATTTTTGCAGCTCCAAAAAAATGAGGTTCTTTATTTTTGCAAATTCTGCCAACCAAGAGCAAGCTTTCTGCTGAATGGAACCTGTACTGTACTTGGATACACATAGCAATTTCATATCTCATTTTCCTTGGAACCATGCTGAATATATATGTCTAACTAAGATTTAGTGAGAAAATTCTTGAACCAATGTGCCGAGAGTTTCATGTATCTTTTCAAGCCATCTTTGAAATCCACGAAAACGAGTCCAAATCGCACAGTATAGCCAGAGTCCCACTCCAAGTTATCCAACAATGACCATACAAAATACCCCTTTACATTCACACCATCCCTTCCATGCATAAATAAAAGTGAACAAAAACAAATTAACCAAAAAAATCACTCCTATTCTGGTTTTCTACCCTTTCACACTTACTTTTTATGATAAAAAAGGGAGAAAGAAACTCATCTTCCCCTTTTCCTATAAAAGGTAAATGTAAAAAGAAAGTATGAAAAACAAATATAAAATTAATACTACTGTGAAGTAAGATGCATAATACTTGCAGATCAATAAATAGAGAGGCACTTCTGATAAAGCATTACTTACTTGATTGCAGTTTGAAGATAATAAAGATGACGATATAAGTAATCAACTCTGTTAGTATCTACAAGGCTTTCTTTAAGAGATAATGTTGGATCGTTAAACTCATCATAACCTATCAATTAATTTTGTTAGATTTCATTAGTATTTTTTTCATTAGTATGCACAGAACTATCTGAGAGAAAAAAATAATATGACAGATGTATTACCATTTTCAGTTATATAAATTACAGGGTTGTTGTATTGCTTCTTGATGTAAAGCAACAGCTTTCGAAATCCTCGTGGATAAATGCACAACCAGTTAGAAGCAGCCTGCAAATTATTATAAAAAGAGTTCTCTAAATATTTTTTATATGATCTTTTGGAGTGGAAAAAGTAACAAAAGAAAAGCATTGATAGGTAATGTAGGTGCCAATGAAATGATGAAATACATACCATTGGACCAAGGGGCTTGCCGTTGTACTGATCTGTCATTGAAAAATAAAAAAACCATGTTTTCATGTATAATTCAAGGTAAGTACAACAAGTTTGGTTTCAGTTCTGTTTGGCCATTCATTAAAACTGAAGCAACCAGTGCAAGCATATAAACAACTTGATAATTACTTGTAACATTAACAAGAGCATCAGTTTGTAGGACAGGTCTGGCACCACGTTGGTTAGGTGCATATGCAGCATAAAAGGATGAGTAGTAGTTTAGGCCCAGAAAATCAAATGATCCTTTAAGTTGCTTGGCTTCTTCTCTGGAGAACTGTGGTAGCCGGTTTCCCAAAATAGATCGCATGCTTTTTGGATACTCAGCTTTTGTGAGAGGGTCCATATACCTAACCAGAAATGCAAAATGCAGATGCAATCAACAAGAAGTACTGAAACACTCTTTTCAAATTTCCTAAGAGTACAAATGATACATCACTACATTTGAATCCAGCTGGCTGCTGATTAGACTTAAGTAAGTTTCTTTTTAATTCGAGGAGTGAATTTGAATTCATATGCAATTTACCTTCACTTTTATACAGGTTTCTGAGAAGACATATACTTTGTGTAAACAGCACAAATCACCTCACATAAAGATGAGTACCAAGTACCAAGTACAGAGTGGTATGATCCACTAATTGTGATTAACAATGCGGAATGCTTTACAGCTACAATTAGACCACATAAATACACAGATATGTATATAATGTTGTTGGTACACAATCTTCTTTTTAAATGTAGTATACCATCAATCAAGCCATGATCATATTTTTCAAAAACAAATAGTCTCTGTCAGTTTTCCATCCCTTTAAGCTATAAATACGCGAGTATAACCTTACCATCCAAACATGAAGTCAAGGCCTCGACGTGCAGCATCTTGATCTGATTTCTCTTCAGAAACTGGCACATACCAGTCAGAATTTAAGGTAATCCCTATTAAACCCTTTTGAGATGCCTGCATACACATTTTCAAATATTCTGGCAATTTAATTACTAACAACATTCAATAATTTTACATGAAAATAAAGCATGATATTTCACCAAAAAGAAATTAAGCGTGCCTTTTGTACTCTATGACCATTCAATCAGAAAAGTTCAAGTCTCCTGTTATTTCCATTTCAGGACATAAAGATTCATCGGTTTGAAAAACAGTTGGTGATTTAAAATAGGTGAAGAGTTCATAGGACCTGATATTTGGTCTTGTACAGTTTGGCAGCAGCAGCATGTGCAAGAAGTTGATAGTGTGAAGTCAAATAAGGCTCAGTTCCTGAATCACCACCTGTGCAATTTAGTCTTAGCCAATCAGAACACCGACCAGGTGCGTACCTGCCAGTTGCATAGCCATTCTTGCTTACACTCCTCGGTTCATTCAAAGTAATCCAATGTTTTACTCTATCACCAAATTCCTTGAAGCAAAGTTCAGCGTAGTCCCTAAAATCATCTCTGCATGCTCAAATGAATTATATATGATTATCAGATCATTAGATTCACTAAAACTTTCCCTCCATATTGAAACAATGTTTATCAATTAATTATATAACTCTAGGTGGAAATTGGTGTCACTCACACAATGTGAGGGCTTAAAAACCCGCCATACTCATCCTCTAAGGCTTGGGGAACATCCCAATGAAAAATGGTCACATATGGTTGCAGACCTGCTTGGTTCACGATGATTATTTAAGATTAACAACCATGTGAATATGATAGTAACGCAATATAAAGAGTTAAATAAGTAAATATTAATGAATTATCACCATTAGCCATTAGCTCGTTTATAAGGTTGTTGTAGTAGTTTATTCCTTCATGGTTTACACCTGCACTAAGCTTTCCTTCTGCAAATAATTTATAAGAAGTTAATAACAGTTACTACATAAACTAACTTAGAAATTTTTTTTGGGTGGAGTATCAATAAAACTTGACTTACTTGGTAGTACCCTAGACCAAGAAATGGAGAATCTATACGCATCCAAATTCACATGCTTCATGATTCCAATATCCTCCTAAAACATGTGGACCAGTCTACCATGACTTTTCATAATGATAATACTTATATTTTTCATTCTTATAAAAACTACTTATGTAGTGCTATTATTAAAACCACATATACCTTGTACCGATGATATGAGTCGTCTGCTACATCTCCATTACTTCCATCTTTTATTTTTTCTGCATGCCATTTCATTGGCAAGTAAGCAGAAATTATACATGTAACTAGTCAACTTTTACTTATACCATTACCAAGTATCAGAGAACATACTCAATTCATACAGTTGGCAAAGTACTCATTTGGTTAATTAGTAGTTAGATGTTAACCAGATGAGCAGTTAGATGACTGTTAGAAGACTCTCTATCACTGCATGAGCTCTCTAGTTTATACACAGGTAGAATCATATTATTCAATCAACTATAGAATTCTCCATGAATCCGGTCCAAAAAATTCTATCAAGCTAGTGCAATTCAAACACGTACTATTCCAACCTCAAGTACATTGACATTGTTATGGTCACCACATTTGAATTATTGTCTGTTTTAGTACTCTTTAGGATGTGTTATGCATAAACCAAGCCCAAGTCCCCATCCCATGCTAAACCTTTGATGCCAAGTGATCCACACTCATTGGGTACTATTTTTTTTCTCTTGCTTTATCTATTCTAAAAGGGCCATATTGGGTACTCTTAGAACCTATACATAAACAAAAATAACTACTTTCACATAAATTAAGATAGTTAAATACATTTATTCTTCACGATCTCATATAAAATGTATACTTCATTTACCAAAATATCCTTAATCACATTTGTCAGCTTATATTTGAGTCCAAAACTTTTAAGTATTTTTTTCTTCTTATAGGTCGGAAGGAAGCACCAGTTAGTCTTATTTGAAAACAAAAAATGAATAATACTACTATTGAAGATAGTGTGGAGAAGAGACATACGTGGGTACTTATGAGTGAAAGTATCCCATATACTGGGTCCTCTTCCACCTTCCCTTGCACCACCTTCATACTACACCGCAAAATTATGTCCATTATCTTCTGAATACTAATTGAGAACAATAACACAATAAATGAATACGAAAATTCAAGCACCTGGTATGCGGAGGATGCTGTTCCAAAAACAAAGCCTTTGGGGAAACTGCTGCGGTTGAGAAAAGAAACATCGAGAATGGGCGAAACGGCGTTGGTAAGAGTGAATGAGGTAACAGAAAGAGACAAAATGCAGAGTAGCGGAAACATGTTCAATGCAATCTTCATCATAACTTACGAAGTGAAGGTGATGTAAGTGGTTCCCCTCTATCACTTTATAAACTTTTATTATCTGTTATTGGAATAAATATAAAAATAAAATCTGCTTCTTCCTTTATTTCAGGAAATTTTATTACTAATATCTTCGTTCCCTTTTATGTAAATCTGAAAACGGGATAAAGACAAGGTCGTTTCAGCATCGACGCAGCAATGTCAACTGCTTTTCGCTACCAATCAAGGATTCTCTAGGTGATTTATTGGGTTGGTGTTAAGATTAAGGATATAAACATGGTACTGTGATTCTGATTTTATATAATTAAGGTTGATGTAGGTACAATCTAATTCTTACATATTTTAATCTATTTGTTAATTTTTTTTTTCCTTTGCATTCTAAGTATTTGATTAAAGTTCCAGAAAAAAGAAAGAGTTTTCAATTGTTGAATTGTGATACTTTTCATTATTTTCTGTAAGAAGCTATTTGAATCCTCTTTTTTTTTTTTTTTTTTTTTCTTTTCAATTTAACATTCACTTTTCATTGCCTATTTATTGTTAATGTGTTATATATATGTTTAAGTATTGAAGTAAGTTCCTTGAAAATAAATCCTAAATTTTGACTGTTTGTTTAACTTTGTACACTTGCCATGCGTAGAAGAAAAAAAAGTAACATGACAGAGACTCTAAAACAAGAAAAATAAAAGAAAAGAGAGAAAAAAAAAAGACTTTAATAAAAATTCAAATTAAGCTACACAATTACAATGAGATAAACCCACAAATTAAATTTTACTATGCTAGTATTCTTGGGGATATATTTTATATGTTTAAATTCAGTGCATTTTTTTATTTGTTAATTTTTTTTAATATAAGAGTGACCCATTGGTGTAGTTCTCATAGTTTGCAAGTTCCCTTTATTTCTATTTTATAGTCGCATGAAATGAGAACATAGTGAGAGTGACTTTCACAAAATCTCCACACATGACGCAATAAATTAACAAAAATAATTAATCATAAATGATATATCGAATTATAAAATAAAAAAAAAAGTGTCCGTTGGGACCTTTTCAGAGTAAAAGAATAAATAAATAAAAATAAAACAATTGATTACAAATATAATTATTGAATAAATGAATTTCGTAATATTATTTAGACTTATTATTTGTAATTTTAGTCCACCTAATATAGTATAAGAGCAATTTTAATATATTAATTTTAATTCAAAAATTTAAATAATAAACAATTTTAGTCCCACAATCAATTTATCATTATTTACATTTTAAGTTAATGATGTGATAATAAATAAATTTCACTTAAACATTAATTATATATTATTTAACTTTTTACATGTCAAATTATTTAATATTTAAATGTTCAAAAAATTATATTCAAATAACATTGAAGTTTGCTAATGACGTCAAAGGTTATGAAGAAGTTGATGTTTATGTAGAGCATCTAACAAACACACCAGTTGAAGTTGAAATTGTTGATCTTGATAATGTTGAAGGTAACTCTATTAGTGAAGATAAGGAAAATGAAAAGTCATAAGATGGAGGTCTATTTAAGGTTTGAGTTGAAAATGAAGATAATTATAAAATTGGAGAAGATATGTTGTATGTAACAAATGATGACGAGGAGGTTGATAATGAAGATATTTTGGATGATTGTGATTATGATGAGAAATGGGAGTGGACAAGTGTTTTTCCCCAAACACAATTAATTCAATTGGTTGTAAGAAAACAATATCCTCTTCTATTGAAGGAGGGGATGTCAATCACAGTGTTGAAGGGGCTAGTAATGGTGTACGAGCTACTACCTTATCTAGAAATCTAGAGCCAACAACAAATGCTAATTTTGAGATTGAAGATGGAGATTCTAATTGTTTACAAACTCCTCCAAGAAGTGATGATGATGACAAGGAAGAAATACCTAAATTTTCTAAATTTAAAATGCCTATAAATAACTCTAATGTTTGATTTGAGGTAGGCTTGATTTTCAACACACAAAAAAAGTCCTAAAGGAAGTAATAAAGGAATATGCAATGGTGTAGAAGATAAATCTACACTTTAAGAAGAATGACAAGTCTAGGATGGTTATAAGGCCTCTGAAGGATTCTATGTTTAATATAAGGGTTAGTATGTCAAAACATTGTATGTATTGACAGAACAACAAATATTTCCTATCTAGGTGTTAAGGTAAAATATTTCCTATCATTCATCAATTGCTTGAGAAAAACAAACAAAATTTTGATGGATGGAGTCCAAATTGGTGTGAAGATGATAGATTTTCTCTTTTTGAAGTGTCAAGAGACACAAATAGATATGTGGTAAATATTTGTGAGCATTCCTGTTCTTGTAGAAGATGGGATTTGACGGGTATTCCTTGTTGTTACTTGTCAAGCTATTGCTTGCATGTGGCATAATAATTATGTTGTAGAAGATTATGTTTACATTCACTATAGGTATGCATATTTTGAGTAGTCATTAATACATAGTAGTATATTTGTTCATCGTTGTTAGGATTATTTTGTTGATTTGTTTGAGAGAATATATTTATATTAAGAGGAGAGGATTATAACTTGTTATTTTTATCAATTTATTTTACACATAACTCCACAATGGTAAGATATTATTTGTTTTTTGTCTAATTTCTCACGATTTTACTTTTGAACTTCTTCCAAAAGATCTCTCAATCAATGGAGTATGCATATGCTTTATAAACTTTTATTTCATCTCTTGTTTTATTTATGTGGAACCTTATTTGTATTTCAACAAAGTCAACATACAACAATCAAGTGTAAGAAATGTGAAAAATTTTGTCCCAATGAAAGGACTTGTAAGGGGAAAATAATTGTTGACAAGGAAATTCCCAAAGGTGGAAATAAGTTAATTTTAAAAAGAATAAAGGTTTATTTATTTAGTCTTGATGGATTATTACTTATGTGGTTTTTGGTGAGGTTTGCACAAGTCCAAGCTTCAAACACACCTGCATAAGTTGAAGCATCTATTACATATGCACTATAGACTCAAGAATCACAAGTGTGACACCCTCTACCCCGTTATTAATATACAACAAATTGAAGAGAGTTTCAAACCCGAATGAGTGAAAGATATAGGGATTATTGGATCAGGTACCAATACTTTTACAATATGTCAAAACCTCAATAAAAAAATATAGTGACCAATATAAAAAGAAAAATACAGGGATCAAAAGATAAATGGATGAAAGTTATACGGAAGAAAATTTTATTTATACGTTATTGTTTATTTTAATCTTTGCGGTGTGTTTGGTTCAGTTAAGAATCTCTAAATTATGATTTTGACAATGTTATGAGAAACAAAGTATCGGTGCTCGTAATAGTCACTTGTTTGATATAATATCACTTGTTTGATATAACATCATTTAGCAGGTTTAAAAGTGATAGAAACTTTTTCTCAAGTCATTTAGTTAAGGGCTCTTTGCACCTTAATATCCTTCATGTACAACGAGAAAATGTGTGATTGCTATGAGAACTAGAGTGCATTGAATGGAAATTTGAAAGTGTATATGTATCATCTACCCTGGCCGAATAACTATTTTTATTTGCATTGCCTGGAAAAGTTATATTGGTTTGCTATTATGGAAGTAAGGGGTTACATAGTTGTATTCAGGATTGTGAAATATTATGTTAAACTATTTTTATGGGAACTGGGGACATCTTGTAATTTTCATGCTAAACATGAGTATTGAATTCCTTTATCCTTTAAGTATTGCACTGGAAGTTTGGAATGCAATTATGGACAAATAAAAATCTCATCTAAAATTTCCCTTAAGGAGGTGATTTATTGTACTAATTCCATCATTGATTTCTTGTTATCTCTTCCTATGAAACACTGAAACCTCTCTAATTCAAAGCGTCAAACATGTTTCCAACACCCACGCTTCCCAACACCCCAAATCAGGTTCCCAATTAAAAGAGTATTAATTTGTTGTTGGCTTGGACACTTGAGTCGATAGTAGACACTTGAGAGAACTCCATATGGATGGACACACACAAATATATATATATATATATATATATATATATATATATATATCTTATTGTATGCAGGCACAGGCAGATATTGTTCCCAAGGAGATTCACTCTATCGATATTAATCCATCATGCCTATATCAGTTAGCATTCCATATTGTCGATGGTTGGTAAGTTGCCAAATGTATTGAAGGCTATGTTTAGGTGTTTTCCTGCCTGCCTGGTTTCTTTCTTCAGAGACTGTTAATAAGGAGAATTTCCATAATTATATCCTCAAAAAGTTCCTATCAATAGACTATAAACTAAAAGCAGAACTTAATTCCTTATCACATGATCGGTTAATGTTGTTTCTGAATGGCCTCATTTTCTTCGGTGTTTGATTTTGAAATAATTAGTTTGTATTTATTATCTACCTTTAAACAGTGTCATTTGATGTCGGTAGGGGTTATGTACATCAAATGTAGTTGTTTGCTACTCTTCTGTTTACTGAATTTTACTAGTCAATAAAAAAGCTTCACTACATTTAATTCTTCGTTGTGCTAATTTTTTCCTTTAATATTTTCATGTAGGTCAGGCGTTTTGGATATTAATAATTTTCAAGTTACACATATACATTGCCCACCCCCTTTTTGGTTGTAAGTTTCAGTTTTCATTTAGAGTCACTTTGTTGAAATTTGTGAAATGGATTGTCAAAATATGTCTGATTATTTTGTTTTCTGTGTTTTTTTTTTGTTAGAAACGATACCTATGTTCACCCTGATCTATCATATACAGCAAAACCTGCATGGTTATCAACGTGTTTGGTAAGAAATTTTATTGAATATAATGCACCTACTTTACTTTTTCACATGATTCCCAACAAAACTTTTACCTCTAGTCATATTGGCTAGCTTATACTTTTAATCAGTTTCTACCTCTAATATAGTACCTGTGACAAATCTGGTGGCAGTTTGGGTGTTTAGATTGAATTAACTATAGAGCGATTATATCATTCACAAAAAAATACAATTAATAGTCTATTTCTGTTGTGCACATTCACGATTTGAGATTATATAAGTAAGGACTTAAGGGCTGAATCTTGATGTAATCCTATCCCTTTAAGTCTCTTGGTCTCGACTCCTGAAGAGAGTTTCAAACCCGAATGAGTGAAAAATATAAGGATTATTGGTACCAATACTTTTACAATATGTCAAAACCTCAATAAAAAAATATAGTGACCAATATAAAAAGAAAAATACAGGGATCACGGCCCGTTCCAGAACCCAAAATACCCCTATAACTTTATTAAAATTACGAAAATGCCATTAAAATAATAAAAATTTAGGTGTTACAACAAGCACTAAGAACAACTCGGAATTGATCTACAAAGTCTTTATAGTTTTTTTTTTCATTTGGCCAATAATTATTAAGTAAGACTCTTCTATTCAATCACAGGGACTGATCTTCCTTTTGTTTAACAAGTGTAATTGAATATATTATGTAACTTTTAAAATATTTATTTCATCCAAATTAATAAAAATTAACTAAAACAATTAAATATATTTTATTTAACAAGTGTTTTACTTTATTCTAATGAAAGTTAAAATTATTTATTATTATATTATTTTCTTTTTTTACTCGACGGGAATGATTTCCTACTCCTATGTATTTTTCATGTGCAATGAAAAATTAGCGTCACATAATTCTTTCATAAAAAAATGACTTAAAATTTTTAATTAAAATATATTTTTATTAAATTTGGAAATTTCTAAGCTGTCATAGCTCATAGTCTTAATATAAAATTGATAAAGGTGTGTATCAAAGTCAATCCATTAAAATGCTTTAATTTTAATTTTTATTATAGAAATTAAAATTAACTAAAGAAGAAATTTGAGTATACCAAACCATCACAACTTTTTGTATTCTCAAAATTTTGAAAAGTAAAAAGATGCCACATCAATTTAACCTTCTTTCACTTTGATAAATTCATTTATTTAATATAAAATTCATTATTATGAATTTACAAAAAAAAAATTAAATATTGAATAAAATATTCTTAAAAAATTCAAAATAAATAAAACAATATATATATATATATATATATATATATATATATATCATTGATAACGTGAAGATTACATAAGAGTTAAGTTGGTTACATCTGACCCCACAAAATAATGGGTAGAACCGCTCAAAA